AACCAGAAAACTGACCACCTGCCACATCCATGTTCAACCAGCTTTGTTTCACTACGATGTCATTAGAACATGAGAAATCAGAGTCCAGCCCTCATAGTCTCAATATTTACCCTTGGTATCCATGGTCCAGAAGTCAAAGCGTCAATATTTACCCTGGGTAGTCATGGTCCAGCAGTCATAGTATCAATATTTACCCTTGGTATCCATGGTCCAGCAGTCAGCCTCAATATTTACCCTGGGTAGTCATGGTCCAGCAGTATTTACACTGGGTAGTCATGGTCCAGCACTCACAGCCTCAATATTTACCCTGGGTAGTCATGGTCCAGCAGTTAAAGCCTCAATATTTACCCTAGGTATCCATGGTCCAGCACTCACAGTCTGAATATTACCCTAAATATTCATGGTCAAGCAGACACAGCCACAATTTTACCCTGGGTATTCATGGTCTAGCACTCACAGTCTCAATATTAACCCGGTATCTCAAGTCATACTTCAGCAGATATACTATCAATATTTACCCTGGGTGGTCATGGTTCAGCAGCCCTAATTTACAGCTAACCTCTCAAATATCCTGTAATACACTAGTTAAACAGCTAAACTACAGAACATCCTGTAATACACTAATTAAACAGCTAAACTATAGAACACCCTGTAATGCACTAATTAAACAGCTAAACTATAGAACACCCTGTGATACACTAATTAAACAGCTAAACTATAGAACACACTGTAATACACTAATTAAACAGCTAAACTATAGAACACCCTGTAATACACTAATTAAACAGCTAAACTATAGAACACCCTGTAATACACTAATTAAACAGCTTAACTATAGAACACCCTGTAATACACTAATTAAACAGCTAAACTATAGAACACCCTGTGATACACTAATTAAACAGCTTAACTATAGAACACCCTGTAATACACTAATTAAACAGCTAAACTATAGAACACCCTGTGATACACTAATTAAACAGCTAAACTATAGAACACCCTGTAATGCACTAATTAAACAGCTAAACTATAGAACACCCTGTGATACACTAATTAAACAACTAATTTATAGAAAACACTGTAATACACTAATTTAATAGCTAAACTATAGAACACCCTGTAATATACTTAGTTAAGAGCTAAACTATAGAACACCCTGTAATATATTAAGTTAAGAGCTAAACTATAAAACACATTTTGGTACACTGATTAACCAGATATTTTATAGAACACCAAATAATGCAATAATTTAACAGTTAAACTACAGAACACCCTTTAATGCACTAATAAAGCAATTAAACTACACTCTGTTATATCCTAATTTAAAAAGCTAAATATGAGCTGACTAATTTTAGTACAGATTCCTACACCTAATAAATTGATCAGGAAGTTTTCTGAGAAACCTTATCCTCCCGTTTAATGGATCGCATGAGCAGTGGTCACATCTGAACATGGCCGTAACTTTCAGGTTTTGGACAGAGGATGGATTGGATCTATAGACTCTCATTGTAGTAATGCTACTAATTCCCTTAACATATCCATAACAAATACGCTGTAGACTCCATAATACCTGGACACCACACATTATTGACATTATGGCCATCGTTCAATATGACAACCATGACATATATTGGGTTTGTAAAGTAAAATGGCCATTACTTTGTGGGTATATTGTTTCGACACCGAGAGGAGAGTAAACACATGGACTGCTAGGCTGGTAGTTACACCGGGGAAGTGGCCGTTACTGTTCGTGATCATACATTAGCTGTGATTAAATCCCTCTCACTTCCCCGAGAACAATGTCCTATATCATACAGCCATTGTTGATATTATTCATCATTATTATCGACCAATAGCTGCTAAATATGTTAGAAGAAGGTTTGGACAAATCAATATCAAAGATTTAGAATCTAAGATCCAGTGTAGACATATATGCACCAACATATTACATAGTAATCATTTTCCAACACCTATGTGAAACTTCATTCATCATTGTATATAAATATTCATACATTTTAATATTTTAAAATTTTCGCACTATCCTATGTAAAATTTCATAGTATACAACACTTTCTTACAATGACAAAATTGTATGTAACACTTTATATGCAAACATCATGGCAGGTGACACTTCGTACACCTGCATTATTGTATGTGAGACTTCATACACTGTCACCATTGTAGGTGACACTTCATACACTGATACCATTGTATGTGAGACTTCATACACTGTCACCATTGTATGTAACACTTCATACACAGACACCATTGTATGTAACACCTCATACACTGATACCATTGTATGTAATACTTCATACTGTGATACCATTGTATGTAACACTTCATACACTGATACCATTGTATGTAACACTTCATACACAGACACCATTGTATGTAACACTTCATACACTGACCCCATTGTATGTGACACTTAATACACAGATACCATTGTATGTAACACTTCATACACTGATACCATTGTATGTGACACTTCATACACTGTCACCATTGTTTGTGTCAATTCATACACTGATACCATTGTATGTAACACTTCATACACTGATACCATTGTATGTGACACTTCATACACTAATACCATTGTATGTGACACTTCATACACTGTCACCATTGTATGTAACACTTCATACACAGACACCATTGTATGTAACACTTCATACACTGTCACCATTGTTTGTGTCAATTCATACACTGATACCATTGTATGTAACACTTCATACACTGTCACCATTGTATGTGACACTACATACACTCACACCATTGTATCTAACACCTCATACACTGATATCATTGTATCTTACACTTCATACACAGACACCATTGTATGTGACACTTCATACACTGTCACCATTGTATGTGACACTTCATACACAGATACCATTGTATGTGACACTTCATACACTGATACCATTGTATGTGACACTTCATACACTGATACCATTGTATGTGACACTTTATACACAGATACCATTGTATGTAACACTTCATACACTGATACCATTGTATGTGACACTTCATACACTAATACCATTGTATGTGACACTTCATACACTGTCACCATTGTTTGTGTCAATTCATACACTGATACCATTGTAAGTAACACTTCATACACTGTCATCATTGTATGTGACACTTCATACACTCACACCATTGTATCTAACACCTCATACACTGATATCTTTGTATCTTACACTTCATACACAGACACCATTAGTGTTGGTGATACTTAATACAGATATGGCCTGTAATGCAATGTACAGAATTCTCATTGTAGGTGGTGAATACCTCACTAAAAAGTATGTGGGAGGATCTAGGATGATCCCTTTTAACGATCTTGCAATACTCAACACTTTTAGTTGTCAGACTGGTCACTTGGTCCTTGTATATATTCTTTTTTTTTTTAAACCTAAAATTATTTCAGTTATTCTTTCAATTATCCACTTTTGTTGAACCGATCTGATTATTTGAACATTATCATTCATATCAATTTGTCAAAAATATAGCACAGCTGACATATTTTTCACCTGTGTGACACATGACTGCCTCAGACTAGTTTGATCATGACCATGTGTTAATACAGGTATCTGACCAGAATTTCTAATTACAAATTTCATTTCCGTAAATATTACCATAGATTTTTTGCGACTTCTAATTATAAAATTAACAGTTATATCACTTCATACCTGCTATGTTATTGATGTTATATCAACACATTCCTAATATACTTTCATATTTTTAATTGACATGGAACATGAAGCACCTTTCAAACAGAAGTTCCTCATTTATATTTACAAAAATTAAGGTAGATTGTGTGTTGTTTCTCCCAACTGTTTTCTTCCTGTTTTTTGTATGTTAATAACCAATAGCAGGAAACAATGAACTTTACAATGAAAACCATTGGCATTGTTTTGTTATTCTGTGAATCTAACATTAAGCTGGAACAGAATAACGGCACATTGATTCGAACTGTAATATTTTTTGTAATATTAGTATAGGATACCTTATGCTCTTTCTTGTAATTAGTTAACAAACTGTACTTCTTGGCTGACATTTAAAAATTTTATCCAAGAGTTGTAAATATTTACATGTTTTCGTTTTTAAAAAGAAATTAAATATGTCAATCGAGAAGACTGGAAATTGTTATCTGATGATGTTGAAATAACTTGTGTCTGTGGTTGGAGAAGTTAATGGGGTTTTACTGTGTTAACACTCAGTCTTACATGTTTTAATTTTGGCCTTAAATAATCCTTATATATCCCTCGGTTTAATTTTAAGTTTGGGGTAACCAGCCCTAGATCATGTGGACTTTCCAGTGTTTCTCTGATTTTCTTCCACGGCAATACCACTTGCACAATTCCATCAATGACAACAGGGGTGTTTAGTATATTATTGTTGTAAAATAAGGTTAAGATTATTTTAAAATATCAACAATCCTCTTAAATGGTCATTTATGCATTTTTATTTCTGTTGTTCTCTATATGCAACCAGGATATGAATTTGACCATCCTCTGACTGTGACCATCATCTCCGCAACAGCAAGATGTACATAACGAGAGTTACCTACAGATCAACTTCATCTCCAAACAATTTGCATGCAATCTTGATACCATAGATATTACAAAGACGATAAATTGGATCTATATACCGCTCACAGTTTTAAATATTTATTGGATTAATTGTGATGCCAAGAATAGTGTTTTAAATTGATGTGGATGATGAATCCCAACATCATGTAATGTGATAATGAAAACCAGACCTTAATTACATGTACGCTACTCATATATTTTTGTACGAAGAGCACAACTGATGCGTATAACTTCACCAAATACTCAATTTCACCAGCTCCTGTAGAGCAGATTAACTAAATATTACACAGGATACCCAAGGTTCGCTACATAACGATATATAAAAAAAAATTAACCTGTGTAATATGTTAAAGTAGAAAGGACAAACGTTATTTATAAAGAGTCTCGTGTACTTACAGTTCCTCGTTGAGGTTAAGTTTCTTCTGTCTTTGACCTCTGCCGTGTTGGCGTTTTAACTCACTGACAGGCCACAGAGATACGAATAAGAAAATACACAGTGCACATATTATCCAAGAATGCATTTTCCCGAAAACTGTTGTATTTTTTTGTCGATTATCCACCTATTTTTTCTTTCCTTCTTTTTGAATTAGTCACTTTCTTTCATTGAACAGACAAAGAAGTTAGTTCGCAATTAAATTAGAAATTGATTTTATCACTATGAGTGCGTAAAGTCACTACGTAAAAACACAATCAAATCACCAACACACAATGACGAAAGATAGTAAGGAGGAATGTTACAAAAGTCATCACTCCTGCAGTCGGCAAGCACAAGCATTAACAAATACCACAATTCTAATTAAATTTGTGAAAAACAAGGCAATGTATCTCCAAAGTCTCTTAAGTTGAAAACCTCTGATTGCTGAAGTTATTGAGAATCCATGATATCTGTGAGGTGAAAATTGTTGAAACAATTCCTGTCAAACATGTGTTGTTATAAACCAAATCAGGAAGACTCTCAGTCACCGAAAGTCTTAGATTTGTGACAGCGAGTTGCAGTAAGTCCCGACAGCAATGGTGAGAGATTTGTACGCTTTCTGGGAAGTTTCCACCCCACACTGTCATAGTAGGATAGGTTTGGAACTCTCCTCTGTCAAGTGATACATACTCATGAATAACTAACACCAATCTATTGTATGATACTGTATGTAAGCAGAACCTTTGTTGGTACCTATAAGACTATACATGCTGGAGTGGATCACAGTACTGGCATCATATACCCATCATGGAACATACCATTGTCACTGACACACAGGGATGTGGCAGGGCTTATCCATTGATTAAAACTGGCTTCAGTCTCTCAACATTACCAAGATCAGAAGATTGATAACAATCTACAGTACTATCTACTATGATGATTCTAGAAACAGCACTAAAGCATTGTATCTATCTCTCTAACGCCAGTTCTTCCTCTCCAATATTGATCTGTAATTATGTAAACACTGAAGACCTGCACCAATGATTGCTTCGCTGTAAAATAAACAGCTGGATTCAGCTTAAGTCTCAGATTCTCAGTTGGTTTCATAGGTTCTTGGTAAACCCACTGCTTCCATATCAAGGTATCTATACATGCTTTATCACTAAATTACACAAACTGAATTGTACACAATCACACAAAAACCATGCCTAGAATGTAAGATTTTCAGTCTGGCTGGAACTGTTATGAACTGATAGGGGTGGCAAGGCTGCCTCACCACTTGACTGCACGTATATTTATGATAAAGTGCAACGCTCTCATTACATTAAATCTTCTAGGAAATGTTTCCACTGTTATTTATAGCATTTGATAACCAAGGACTGTTAATAGATTGTTTTATAGTAGCATTAAAAATTTTGTCCATGCAATCATGTGTGGATGAAACACTTAAACTTTATTACTGAACTATTTTTCCTTAATAATGAGTGTAGCACATTTAATCAATTTATTGTAAACGAGCAGAACTAGGACCCAGATGATTACAACAAATGTTCATAACACATATCTCAGAGCTTTTGTCGGCCAGTTAACAGCAAATGAAACGAACAGTCGAAGTTTGGTGCCAAAATCAACTCTACACGATTAAAAAGATTATTGAAGGCACTCAACCAGAGACCTACGATATTATCAAAATAAAAACATAATAAAACAATTATAGTTGACAAGGGTCACCAGGCCTTTGAATACAACTGTGTTTTTTACGTTGGTTTGTGTATAGCATCACTGAAAGTTCCCAAGAGCTCGGGAGGTCCCGAGAGATTAACCATTGGTCTATGGTAGTTGTATTCGTGGTCTGAATAATTGATAGCAATGGCAGCGAGTTTTGGATGACTAGATACATAGAATAATCAAAGAGTCAGTTGGGTATATCCCTAGCCAGCATAGTTAGCTTCACAAAGTGGTTTAGATAATCACTTACAAATACAGCAGATTTTTATTATTAAATGTAACAAATGATAAAGGTGTCAAAAATTGTCTTATGTTACAGAATTCAATATAGTTAGAAAATTTACAAAATATCTTGATTTTTCCTGAATTAATAATCTTAACTAACCATGAATATCAGGTATAATTCTCCCCAACATCAACTGCCTATAGGATGAAAGACTAGAATAGCTTTATGGTAATAAATTATACAGTCAAAGGGTTGGAGTATTGTAATAAATATATAAATAGTCACAGGGTCTGTGTATATGGTATGGTAATAGATTATACAGTCATAGGGGCTGTGTATATGGTGTAACAGATTATACAGACAAAGGGTCTGTGTATATTGTATGGTAATAAATATATAGTCATAGGGCCTGTGTATATGGTGTAACAGATTATACAGTCATAGGTTCTGTGTATATATTGTATGGTAATAGATTATACAGCCATAGGGTCTGTGTATATTGTACGGTAATAAATATATAGTCATAGGGTCTGTGTATATTGTACGGTAATAAATATATAGTCATAGGGTCTGTGTATATTGTATGGTAATAGATTATACAGTCAAAGGGTTGGAGTATGGTAATAAATATATAAATAGTCACAGGGTCTGTGTATATGGTATGGTAATAGATTATACAGTCATAGGGGCTGTGTATATGGTGTAACAGATTATACAGCCATAGAGTCTGTGTATATTGTACGGTAATAAATATATAGTCATAGGGTCTGTGTATATTGTACGGTAATAAATATATAGTCATAGGGTCTGTGTATATTGTATGGTAATAGATTATACAGTCAAAGGGTTGGAGTATGGTAATAAATATATAAATAGTCACAGGGTCTGTGTATATGGTATGGTAATAGATTATACAGTCATAGGGGCTGTGTATATGGTGTAACAGATTATACAGCCATAGAGTCTGTGTATATTGTACGGTAATAAATATATAGTCATAGGGTCTGTGTATATTGTACGGTAATAAATATATAGTCATAGGGTATGTGTATATGGTATGGTAATAAATATATAGTCATAGGGTATGTGTATATGGTATGGTAATAAATATATAGTCATAGGGTATGTGTATATGGTATGGTAATAAATATATAGTCATAGGGTCTGTGTATATTGTATGATAATTGATTATACAGTCAAAGGGTTGGAGTATGGTAATAAATATATAGTCATAGGGTCTGTGTATATAGTATGGTAATAAATATATAGTCATAGGGTATGTGTATATGGTATGGTAATAAATATATAGTCATAGAGTCTGTGTATATTGTACGGTAATAAATATATAGTCATAGGGTATGTGTATATTGTATGGTAATAAATATATAGTCATAGGGTCTGTGTATATTGTATGATAATTGATTATACAGTCAAAGGGTTGGAGTATGGTAATAAATATATAGTCATAGGGTCTGTGTATATAGTATGGTAATAAATATATAGTCATAGGGTATGTGTATATGGTATGGTAATAAATATATAGTCATAGAGTCTGTGTATATTGTACGGTAATAAATATATAGTCATAGGGTATGTGTATATGGTATGGTAATAAATATATAGTCATAGGGTCTGTGTATATTGTATGATAATTGATTATACAGTCAAAGGGTTGGAGTATGGTAATAAATATATAGTCATAGGGTCTGTGTATATAGTATGGTAATAAATATATAGTCATAGGGTATGTGTATATTGTATGGTTAAATATATAGTCATAGGGTCTGTGTATATTGTATGGTTATAAATATATAGTCATAGGGTCTGTGTATATAGTATGGTAATAAATATATAGTCATAGGGTCTGTGTATATTGTATGGTAATAAATATATAGTCATAGGGTATGTGTATATGGTATGGTAATAAATATATAGTCATAGGGTCTGTGTATATAGTATGGTAATAAATATATAGTCATAGGGTCTGTGTATATTGTATGATAATTGATTATACAGTCAAAGGGTTGGAGTATGGTAATAAATATATAGTCATAGGGTATGTGTATATTGTATGGTTAAATATATAGTCATAGGGTCTGTGTATATTGTATGGTTAAATATATAGTCATAGGGTCTGTGTATATTGTATGGTAATAGATTATACAGTCAAAGGGTTGGAGTATGGTAATAAATATATAGTCATAGGATCTGTGTATATGGTAAGATATAAAGTATACAGTCATAGATTACCAGTATAAAATATCAGTATAAAGTTATCAGTATAAAATATCAGTATAAAGTTATCAGTATCAAATATCAGTATAATAGTTATCAGTATAAAATATCAGTATAAAATATCAGTATAAAGTTATCAGTATAAAATATCAGTATAATAGTTATCAATATAAAATATCAGTATAAAGTTATCAGTATAAAATATCAGTATAAAGTTATCAGTATAAAATATCAGTATAAAGTTATCAGTATAAAATATCAGTATAAAATATCAGTATAAAATTATCAGTATAAAATATCAGTATAAAGTTATCAGTATAAAATATCAGTATAATAGTTATCAATATAAAATATCAGTATAAAGTTATCAGTATAAAATATCAGTATAAAGTTATCAGTATAAAATATCAGTATAAAGTTATCAGTATAAAATATCAGTATAAAATATCAGTATAAAATTATCAGTATAAAATATCAGTATAAAGTTATCAGTATAAAATATCAGTATAATAGTTATAGGATCAGAGTATGGCAGGACCTATAAATAGTAACATAGTTGCAGTATCAGCACACTATTAGAAGTGTTATAGGCGATATGGATATGACGCAAGGTTCTTCAGCTGACCATAAAGCCAATCAAGTTATTGGTCGCCTCTTAGTATTTAATCTAATCCAGCAATAATTCACTTACAAAGCTTTGTTTTCACACAGACTACATCATCAATATCCTATAATGAATATTGACCAGTGTTCATAATCTGCTGCAGCCGGTCTAAATAAAGATAGCACAACGAGAGTAAACAGCACTGTCAGGAAAACCGATTGGACGAATTGAACCAATAACTGAGCAATTTTCTGTCATCAAGTCCGACTAAGATCTACTGTAATTCTATCATCACAGCCATTACTTTATTGAGTGACAACATCGACAAAAGAAATGAAATGCCAACAAGAAATTGAAGCTGATATTGATTGAGGCAGACAGCGGGCTGAGCTCATGGATTTACTGTTTTATCTTGCCGATTGATTGTGATAAAATTAGGTTCAAATGAAACAGAAGTTGCTTCCCTTTGACAGAGTAGGGCCTTTTTCTGTAGGCGTAACATGAGCTAACAAGATAATGGATTTCTTCAAGCTGAAGTTTTAAGTCAATAACATCAGAATATTGAGTGAATTAAATGTCACAAGAGACTTCAAAGGATGATAACAAGCCCACCATTCCTGCCATCTGGAATACCCTCTCTAATATTTGATAAGGCCCTCCGAATGTTAACTCAATATAAGTTCTGGAATCTGGAATATCATTTACTTTGAAGTAATTTCTGAAATAATGTGACCAACCTGTATTGTGATAGAGTTTACCCTTGGTCACAGAGAGACCAACCTGTATTGTGATATAGTTTACCCTTGGTCACAGAGAGACCAACCTGTATTGTGATAGAGTTTACCCTTGGTCACAGAGAGACCAACCTGTATTGTGATATAGTTTACCCTTGGTCACAGAGAGACCAACCTGTATTGTGATATAGTTTACCCTTGGTCACAGAGAGACCAACCTGTATTGTGATATAGTTTACCCTTGGTCACAGAGAGACCAACCTGTATTGTGATATGGTT